TGCCCCCTTCCGGGATACCCTGTGACCCTGCCGCTTGTTCGAGAAACGTTCGTTGACGTGCCGAACCCCGGAAAGTCCATCAACCTTCCTTGGAAAATGTCGACGCAACCCTCGCGATGCTTTACCGAACGTCCGAACAATGAAGCTTGAAGTTAAGGAAATCGCTTTCGGATAACCGGACGCGAATAAATGAAATTACATTTGGTATTTCATGGAGTGCTTAGAAATTTTGATTTGTTTAGAAAAGCGAAAGGCATGGGATGTTTTGGATGTTTGGAGATGTATCTTGAAAAGTGGCGAATCAGTAGATGAGACGTTTCGACGAAGGAAGGCAGCGTTGCTGCGAAATTATGCCAGCTTTCGAAAAACCGAGGGTATTTTCTTGACGTCGTTTGTCCATCCAGAGGGCTCGGTTACCGAGAGGTCGATCATAGAAAAGGCTGCAAGAAGGGGTATAAATTTAACCTATTTACCATGGAATTGACTCCTGTTCGACTCATTTCGCAACGGCGACTTTTATCATTGCATTGAGAAACGATATTATTCTCGCTGAAAGCGATAAGCGATAAATAGATGTGATCATCAACTTGTTCGGCAGTCGGGTAATTGCGAACACTGAAGGTTTCGTTTTTTTTTTTATCTTAAAACTACGTTTTATTTTCAAATGTTAGCCGTATAAATTATTGTAGTTTGTAAACGAATAGTTCAACTATAATTACAAGCAATTAGTGATCTCGTTTCTTGCTCAGATCTCGTTTTATTCGAATTCTTGCTTAGCTGTTCGCAATTACACCGCGATCCCCTACATGTACGATCGGCAGAACATGTTTCAACTAATCTAGATGGTTTCGGCGTCGAAGGACGACGTTCCGCGCTAATAGACGATGACCGTGCAAGAGATGTCGCCCTTAGTCTATTGCACATTGTTGCGAATCACTCCGTTTCTCTCGCGTCGCGGCATTTTATTTACAACAAAGAATATAAATTATAATACAACTCAATGCAATATATTTCAGATCTTTCAATTTGAAATGTTGCTCGTTCGACAGTTCGATCTCGACTCCTCGATTGGTAACAGTCTTCCTTGGCAAACCCTATCTTCCATTATCTTTTAAGGAGTTGCTCGCAACAGGGCAGTTTCACATTATAGCAATATAATATAATAATATATTGTAATATATCATAATATAATATAATAATACAATATAAAAACCGTATAGCGGCGTTTGAAATTAAATCGCGCAAATTTCGAAATGTTACGATGCGATCATGCTTGATATTAACGCGTAATATTGCCGCACACGTTGATGCGCGTGTCACTTTTAAAAATGTCCACGACGAAAGAGGTCGTCATGCCCATTGGAGTTGCCTGTATTTCGTCATACCTGTTTTTTACAGTTCAATGTCTCTTGTAACGTCTCGCAGCTGCGGGAGTCGCTGTAACAGGGTGGCACCGATGGGACGAAAAAAATGGCGACTAGCATGGACTAGGAATCGAAACGTTTTAATAGGTTTCCGAAGTTGTACGGGGCTCGATGTCCGATGAGTAGGAATATCGTTGCGGTCGGCTTTATCGTCGCGCTAATTGGGCAGGAGCGTGGGAGGACTGAAATGAACACACGTGTATGATTATACACATCACGATTTATTGACGAGCAATGATCGTACACTGGATGCAACACGATTTTCCAAAAAGAAAAAAAAAGATAAACAATTCCAACAAAATATCGAATTAAACACGTTAATTAATTAGCAACAACAAACACTGCCGACGGCTGTCCATCGGCGACGAGATGCAGAGCGGAGGTAAATATCAAATGAAAAGTCGATTGCCGCAATGGTCTGGATAATTAGATACTCGAACGATCAATGGTACCGGATACACGGTTACATATACATGCACGTAATGCACGAGGCGCGCTTTGCAAACCCGAATGTATCGCCTCCTGTCGAAAATACATGTTGTTCTCCGTCGATCGCCGTTTTTTCACGGACAAGCGAAATGTTTGTTTAGGGCCGTTTTTAACCGCGGTGGCTAACAAGTGGGTGGAAACGAAAGGCAAAGAACTGGTAACTGGAGGAAACGAAGTCACACGGATAACGTTTTAGTCCTTAGCGATTATCGATAATCCTAGTTCGATTACAATTCACAGGTTGCTTACCGTGGAAATACTGTACTGAGTTACATATTTAGTATTCATGGCGACAATAATATCGATAGTAACGGTAATAATTAATCGGGCCCCGGTTACCGGGGCTCCGGTACACCACGACAATGATTCGACGATGCGGCCGATCGCGGTCACGCGACATAGAATTCGATATAATTCCTCGAACAAAACAAAAAAAAAACGAACACAACAACACGATTCACGTTTTCCGCGTGATCACGATTAACTAACTAACCGTTCTCGATAACATTCGCTGGCGAAGCTCTCTCTCTCTCTCTCTCTCTCTCTCTCTCTCGATTGATCACAAAGACAAGATTCATTAATGACCGCTCGCTCGCTCGCTCGCACGTTTTGCATCGGTTTTTCTTTCTTGTTTTTTTTTTGTTCCGGTTGGTCCAAGTGTCGCGAAGGATTTTTCGTTGTCGGGCCACGTTCCCGAGACGGATTGACGATCAACCGCCGAAACAAGGGGGTGATTTGATATCGACCGAAAGTATTCTCGATGAACCCTCGCCTGTGCCGCGGGCACGGCGTGCCTGCGCGTTGAAGTCTTTGGGCGCCGCGAATCCGCAATTAGGAGAAGCCGCCGAGCGTTTCGGATCTCACGGAACGATCGATCGATCTACTGTTTCGAGTGCTATTCGCCGAGTGTCCGATGCATCGAAGTGTCGCGCGACAACTCGCAGTCTTCGGAAATCATCGAAACGCCGAGCGAAGCTCGTCGCGCGTTGCTAATGGATTTGCTAAATGGATCGCGGATAATTAGACGGTGAAGAAACTCTGATCGATGGGTGTGGCGATAGAACGTAACGCGTTGTGTCCCCCTTCCGGTTTCGTTTAAAAAATCCCGTAGAAAAATAACGTGTAAAAAATCTGGGTCCCTTAGAACTCGCCGGCGAGCTCCGGCGAGCCTCGTCTTCGCGAACTGGCAGTTTCTTCTTTTATTCCTTGCTTCATCTCTCTCTCTCTCTCTCTCTCTTCCTTTCTCTCTCCTTTTGATTTTCAGCTTGATCGAAAAATCGCGCGGCTGTTGACCCAACCGCCAAACTAATTGACGGAAATTTCGTTACTAACCCGAATAGCTGATTCCGTTTGCGAAACCGTAGACGCGTCCTCTCGCCTTTCGTCCGCGCGCACACATTCTCCGATGTGGGAATGATACGCACACGCGTACCCGCACGCGACCGTGCCGCGGGATAATTGGACATCGTAACCGTACAAGCTATACATATGTGTCTATTAATTGATGCGCTGCTTTCCTACACGAATATTATTATATAATGCGCCGCCGTTGCTACGTATGTAGGTAAAGTTCCCGTTCGTTCGCGTCTCTCTCTCTCTCTCTCTCTCTCTCTCTCTCGTCTGTCGTTCGGGAGCGGCGCGCTTTTAATCAGCGCCAGACTCGCCTCGAACACACTCCGATCGGCATTGTGCTCTTCCATACCCACCTGGACTGTTTCGCTCGACAATTAACGCTACTCTCGTTTGCGCGACTCATTAACGCCAGAACTACACGGCTACCGATCGCGGACACGACCGACCACGTTAATGAAAACGTTACGAGTCCGGCGCATCCGTCGGCTATTTTTCCAAACGAACTCGCCTCTAATTCGTAAAACGGATGCGCTGCGACGGAGCTGTACCGCGCTCCGCGCTGTTCCCTGAGTGGGCGTGGCTTCGCCGCTCCTCGCGGAGCCGAGACGGTGCTCCGCGGAGCATTTCGACGCCTCAGCGGCGGCTCGTAAATTGTCTAAAAAAGTACAAACCAGTAGGTAGTCCTAGCAAAACACTGTGTGTTGTTCTGATCGTTCGAGTAGGATCTGGATTCCTGGTGAACGTTTCAAAGTCAAGTTTGATCTTTATTGCTGTTCCGCGTTTAAAAATCGCCTGGCCAAACCGTCGCCGGATCCGGCGACGTTTCGCCGTGCCGTGTTCGACCACAATATATATTATTCAGAAAACCGATAACAGCGATATGAGTTCGTTAATTCTATCAAATAAAAACTTTCGCGTTCGCGACACGTCGCCGCGAGATTGTGACGGGTTTCGAGCCCTCGCNTTACTAACCCGAATAGCTGATTCCGTTTGCGAAACCGTAGACGCGTCCTCTCGCCTTTCGTCCGCGCGCACACATTCTCCGATGTGGGAATGATACGCACACGCGTACCCGCACGCGACCGTGCCGCGGGATAATTGGACATCGTAACCGTACAAGCTATACATATGTGTCTATTAATTGATGCGCTGCTTTCCTACACGAATATTATTATATAATGCGCCGCCGTTGCTACGTATGTAGGTAAAGTTCCCGTTCGTTCGCGTCTCTCTCTCTCTCTCTCTCTCTCTCTCTCGTCTGTCGTTCGGGAGCGGCGCGCTTTTAATCAGCGCCAGACTCGCCTCGAACACACTCCGATCGGCATTGTGCTCTTCCATACCCACCTGGACTGTTTCGCTCGACAATTAACGCTACTCTCGTTTGCGCGACTCATTAACGCCAGAACTACACGGCTACCGATCGCGGACACGACCGACCACGTTAATGAAAACGTTACGAGTCCGGCGCATCCGTCGGCTATTTTTCCAAACGAACTCGCCTCTAATTCGTAAAACGGATGCGCTGCGACGGAGCTGTACCGCGCTCCGCGCTGTTCCCTGAGTGGGCGTGGCTTCGCCGCTCCTCGCGGAGCCGAGACGGTGCTCCGCGGAGCATTTCGACGCCTCAGCGGCGGCTCGTAAATTGTCTAAAAAAGTACAAACCAGTAGGTAGTCCTAGCAAAACACTGTGTGTTGTTCTGATCGTTCGAGTAGGATCTGGATTCCTGGTGAACGTTTCAAAGTCAAGTTTGATCTTTATTGCTGTTCCGCGTTTAAAAATCGCCTGGCCAAACCGTCGCCGGATCCGGCGACGTTTCGCCGTGCCGTGTTCGACCACAATATATATTATTCAGAAAACCGATAACAGCGATATGAGTTCGTTAATTCTATCAAATAAAAACTTTCGCGTTCGCGACACGTCGCCGCGAGATTGTGACGGGTTTCGAGCCCTCGCCGAGCAGGGATTCATACCACAAAATGGAAAATACCGGTAATTCTCGGTTGTAACACGCTTATCGAAATCCGAAATTCAGGGGTGTAGGTGTATTTACCTATATATTTACCTATATTTAGCTATATTTACCTGCGTTATTTCCGGTTTCCAGATTTCATTGTAACTTTCACGATTCCGTTTAAGCGGTGGCCGATAGCCGGTATTATTATATTGTCGTTATTACATTCGCCGGCCTTACAATACGTTTTTATAAAAGCCTGGTTACACAACAAGAGCCTTTGAACTCTGGTCACTTGAATGTTTAATACCCAAACGGAATACCCGAAATAATACAAGTATTTATTTCGGTTCTCGGTAGTACATCGATTTCGGTATTATAAAGGTGTCGATGCATCGATGGTACATCGATTACGGCATTATAAATAAAGGTAACCGATGTTCCGGTGTTACATACATATATCGGTCACGGTACAGCTTTCCTCGAATAATACCGGCACGAAGTCTCTGCTCGCGAGGCTCTCCCCGTGTGATTACTCGATCACCAATTAGAAAAGATGGGTTCGCGGTACGCTCGCTTCGGCATCCAATCGACATCTCGTACAATCACCTAGGGGGCTGCTCGAAATCGCGTTCATCCAATTCGCAAATACGCTTCGCTGTCACGACTAGCATCTACCTTTTTTTTTTTTATTTACCACAAATCGACCGGGACGGGCTTATCGCTGCGATAAATCCGCCATATATATATATATATAATATATATATTTATAATATATATATATAGATTTTTATATGTATATTGTAATAGACGATCATTAAATTGCACTAATACATTGCACACGTTCTCCGAAGTTCTTTGGCATCTCTATGAAGTACATATTTCTCTCTAGATCCCTAAGGAACGACCAACACGCTGGATGGAACGGGGCAAGAGGCATCCGTCTTGCCCGTCCACCGTCGTTCCCCTAACCATTCGCCCGATGTACCCCTCTCTACGGAACCCTAACACCGTTCGTTTAAGTGTATACGCCTAATTTATCTCCGTCGGTCAATCGTAGAGCCGTTCGTCGAATAGCTCGACCCGTTTGTTTCTCAAGAAATTCGCTCGCGTCCACCGGGGAATTAATGGTGGATCGCGGGCACACATACATGCATTACAAACATACCTAACTTAACATATCTAGGTAACAACGGATCGAACACCGCCATCGTCTGTTCCTCCGGGGGAGGGTGCGAGGACACAGGGCAGCCATATTCCATATTCGAGGGAGACCCGCCGCGTTCTCGGCCGTGTTCCGGGAACGAGAGCCGGCCGATCTCGCTTCGAACGCGAGACCCTGCTGATTCTAGGACTCCTCCACTCGCCGAGGTGTAAACTTTCTACTCGCGCGTAAAAATCGAAAGGTTTCGCGCATCGCGCGTCGCGCCGGTCTCGCTATAAAAGCCGGGCGGCCGCGCGCGCGTCTTCCCGGCGTGCTCGGCCACGTTAAAGGGTTAAATAAGGCTCGTTAGCCGGTATACAGCGTCGTACACATCTTCGTACACACTTTCACTCTCCGTGCCGGGCGGCGTTCTAGTTCATGCTACCGGGTGTACCGTGTGTCCTCGCGCCCACGCCGCGCCTCGACGGAGGAAAACCGTCGAGATAGACACCGGGTGTGCCTTGGGTTTGTTTAGGTTGCGCGTGTGCGACGCGGCTTCGCGGGAAGCGGGAAGAAGAAAATATATGGTAACGTACAGCCTTTGGGTTGGTCACATAGGAATCTCGTTTTCAGTAGGAGCAGTGGTTCTTACACGTGTAACGATAATAGGAAGTAACGGGGGAGCAGGATCGAAGACGGGGGAAGCCGGGCGGCTCGAGGTGTCCTGTACGACGACTCTTCTCTGGATTGGTCGCGCGGTCCTCTTACGGAGGCTGCTGCGAGGCGGTGTTGAAGAAACTGGCTCTTTGATTCCTGTACTGCGAGGCGACCACCGCCTGCGGGTTGGGTATGTGCCTGATGCCGAGGTTCGGCTTGATCTTCATCCCGAACCCGGAGATTCTCTGATGGGGCTGAGGTATCCGAAGCGCTACCTTGCTCGCGATGTTGGCGGAGCTAAGCACCAGAGGGTCCACGGAGCTCTTGTCGCCGATGCATCCGCTCAACAGGGACACTGCTGCGTCGGACAAGGTGACAAGATTCGACTCCTGACCCCGCCGCTGGTCCAGGTCCTTCGCCTTTCCGCGCAACAAGCTACCCGTCGCGATCCCGGGTCTCGGCGGCCTCGGGTTCAACGAGGGCGAGCAGGACGAGGACGAGGACGTGGAGGAAGATGGGGAGGAGGACGAGGATGAGGACGAGGAGGAGGAACAGGAGGAGGTCGAGAAGTTGCCGGCTGAAAGATTGGCCGACAGGTTGGCCGACAGGTCGAGAACGTTGTTGTGCACGGTCGTCCCGCCGCTGCTCAGGTCCAGCGGGGTCTCGTACTTCGAGTTGTTCGGCTCCAAAATGGCGCTGGACGTCGCGAAGCCGGAAGGCTTAGCTACCCGCAGAGGCGCGAGCGGCGGCGGGCCTTTCTTCTTCGGAACGGCGTTGACCTGTACCGGCGGGGGCGGTTGCTCCTCCTTTGTCTTGGACCTAATGCTCTTCAGCGTGTCGCGCATCTGCTTCTCGGCCAACAAACTCCTAACACGGTTCGCCTTGCTCTCCCGCAGCTGCTTCTCGAGCTTCTCCCGGTCCAGGCTGTCGATCTTCTCGCTGTTGTTCTGGGCGCGCTGCTTCGCCTTCTCGCGGAACTTGTCGTTGGCCTCCTTCACCGCGACCAGGCCCAACCGACGCAGGATCTCCTCGTCCTTCTTCGGCCTCTCCGTCTCGGCCTGCTCCGCCGGCTTCGTCGTCTCCGGCTCCGCTTCCTCCTTCGACTTCAACGGAGGCGGCCGGCAGGCGACCGGCGCGCTCCTCTGCTCCGGCCTCTCCGCTCCCGGCTCTTCAGCCTGCGTGCTGATATTTTGTGCGATTCTAACCACCTCGTCCGGTATGCTGTCTATGATCTCCTCGATCGTCTCCTCCGTCTCGCCGATGCCCTCCTTGGCGCCCTCCTCCCGCACCGCGGAGCTCGCCGACCGCTGCTGGCCCATCGCGGTCGCTTTGATCTTCTCCCTTCTAACAGCTCTCATCTGCAGCAGCTTCTCCTTCGTCTGGCCGGCCGCCGACGCCGACGTGATCCGCGGCGGACACGGCGTCAGCCGCACCTTCAACTTCAACAGGTCCTCGCGGGGCGTCGTGGTGATCTCCGCGATCACCCGCTTGTTCCGTCGCTTCCTCCGCTTCCGATGCTCCAGCCTGGCCAGCTCCTTGCTCTTCGAGCTCTCCGGCACGTGGTTCGGCTGCAACGGCACGAGGTCCGGCGTCCTCATCACCGGCGTCACCTCGCAACGGGGTTTCTTTGCCTTCGGCTCCTTGTCCCGTTCCAGATTCGTCTCCAGGGACCGTGCCGGCTCGGTGCTACTTTCTAAAATCCTGCGGGCCTCGACTTCGCATTCTTGGACAGGCTTCGGGCTCGGCGGCGGCGTCGGCGGCCTTTGAATGTTCTCCATGGTCGCCGCGACGTCCTTGTTCGTCTCGTCGTTGTACGGGCACACTCTCGGCACCGAGGCCGCGCCGCTGTCCATTCGCGTCACCCGGTAGAACAGCTTCATCGGCGAGTCCTGCAACGTGAAAATCCCCGCCTACCCTATGGTACTCTAGCTAGTTGCAACGCTACAGGTTTCTACAGTCCCCGGGGCCCGGCACTATTCTGCTCTTTTTCAACCGGGATCACCCGCGGCGGTCGTTTCGGTCAACGACCGAAGGACTCGTTGTTCGCGAAACTCGAGATAGAGCTACTTTAATCGATTAACGTCAACGAAATGTTACTTTTATTCATTCTACAGAGAACTCCTACTTCCTCATACGCTCCTTATCCTTCTTCTGCTACAAGGGTGATTTAAGGGTGATTTTTTATCATGCAATTTGAATGCTTTACCGATAACAAAATTGTAGACTCGAGACTGAGATCGACGATCTAGCCATCTATCTAGAAATATTCTGAAGCAATTGTGCGAAAGAGTACCCGGTTATTGAGAGAAGCGTTAGAGAGCGATCTTCACGGTGTCATCCGAGATGCTCGTACTCCCTGAAAGAGACCGAGACGTACAGGTGCATGTACTCACTCTCTTCCATCCGAAAATGCAGGCCAGGTCCAGCAGGGTCCAGGAGTGGTCCAAGGCCATCATCTTCGAGAGCTCGGTGCGCTGCTCGCCGTTCCGCTCGCACAGCATCTCTATCTTGTTGATCCCGGCCGAGTTGGCCTCCTCCCAGCCTCTCTTCAGCATCAGCAGTCTGATCAGGTGTCGCACCGTCACTCCAGCCGGGCACTTCAGGTATCGCGTGCTCCTGACCCCCGTTGTCTCCTCCTCCTCCTCCTTGGTCTGGTCGACGCCCGGCCGTTCGTGTCGTGACCCGGCACAGTTTTCCGGTGACCGATCGCCGCCGCTCGCCTCCTCTTCCGGTTCATCGAGCTCGCACAGGCTCAGGCTGACGAAGTCGTCCAAGGTTAGCTCGAGAGCGCCCAGAGGTGGGGCCAAAGGTGGACACTGCGGGTTCACCAGCCGGAAGTGGCGCCTTCGCTCGAGCTCCGACCGGAAGAGGCCCGGTACCAGCAGATACACCAGCCTCTGCAGCTTCGCGTCCGGCAACAGGGGCGGCGACGTCGCCACGTCGCAGACAGGACACGCTCGGGCACCGCTGCTCAGTCGCCTGACTATGCAACCTCTGCAAACTATGAGCCCCGTACGTCTTGTACTTTACACGCCCGAGGACACTTTTTCTCGTGCTCGAATCGATGTCACTCGATTTTAACCCTTTCACTGTTACGATGTACAGTAATGTCTCCCTAACCGACGCTCGGATTGTGCACAAACATGGACAATTTGGGAAGAGGAGATACCATTATTGCTGTCTCTTATACACATCTAGATGTGTATAAGAGACAGGTACAGTAATGTCTCCCTAACCGACGCTCGGATTGTGCACAAACATGGACAATTTGGGAAGAGGAGATACCATTATTGTGCTGTCCATTTTTGTGCACAATCTGAGCGTCAATCAAGGAGACATTACTGTATTCAGATTGCAAAGATTCATTTATATTTTTTATTCAACATATACAGAAAAAATTTCTTTTATTCTTCTCAATACAACCCTCAGCTTGAGAACAAAAGTGGACAACTTGGGAAGAGGGGACGCGATTATTCGAGTCCTGGCGGTTCATTTTTGTAGCTACGAATTTTCAACAATTACAAAAACGAGCCGCAAGGCTCGAATAATCGTCTCTCTTCTCCCTAAATTGTCCATTTATGTGGACAAGCTGTGCGTCAATTAGAGAGACATTACTGTATTCGAGTCGTATCGAACAATGCTTGATCCGGTATAACGATCCGGACGAATACCTTCTGGTCGAATATTTTATTCGAATTACGATTACTCGTTGCTAGTCATAAATTAATCTGTCTATTTATTAATGAGTTATTCGAATAATTCTCTGTAAAGAATTAATGCGAATTATTCTTGACCGTCTACGTAATTTTATGAGAATATACCTTCACGAATATATTCGCGAATAAATTGTAAATAAAGTATAAAATCATAGCACTACAAAATTCCCGGTGCTTCTTCATATTCGATGGTATCGAATAAAATCTTGTACAGATAAATTTTTATTCGACGATACCGAACAAAAATTTGATTCGTCGGTCTCAACTTTGTATCCTGCGTCCGAGTACAATTTTAGCTAACACCGTCGTACGGAAGTGGGGACAGTGAAAGGGTTAAACGTCCAAGGGTTGCCGAAAAGCTGGCAATAGAACAGCATTGTTCGGGTAAGTACGGACACGGCAGGTAAGCAGGTAGGCGCGGCGGTAAAAGTGCAAATGTTTTCGAAAGGTTCGTTCTTAAAGAGCCGGCCGGACCGGGCTCGGACGAGCTCGAGAGTACAGAGAGCGTGGTTTAGTCACCCTCCATGAATTCTGATGCCCGCCAGAAGGGCGGACAGACGCGCGGACTGTTCCACCACGCACACGAAGTACACGAAGTAGATACGGCCGTTCGTGGTACGGCGCGGCGCGCATCGCCCGGCGCGGCGATGCGTACGAATACTTCCCCGAGTGCTGCGATCGACGGCTTTTATCGCCCGATTATACAAGGGGTCTCAATAATCCGGATCGAGGTACGCTCCCGCGGAAATATCGATGGTAAAATAGAATGTAAACGTCGGCGCCGAACACATCGCCGTCAACCTCGATTTCTTCGATCGAGCAAATCAATTTCAATTTCGCGCTTTATTAGCCGAGAAACCGGTCGACTTCCGGCGGGCACGCGTTCCTCTGTATCGACGATTGAAAACGGGTATGATATCGGTTTCGGTGCTTCGAACAGTTATAAAGAACCAGTAGGATGTTTTCACTGGACTGCCGGTTTCACGCGTTTATGGTAAACACGCGTAGCTGAGATACCAAATTGTTGACGCGTAAGAATAGTTTAATGATATCGTGTCCAGCTATTTTCAACCGATCCGAATTATACGAAGGAACTCTTCGAGTTATTTTCCATTTCTCGCCATCTTCCTCGAAAATTTATATTTTACATGAAAACTGCAGCCTGGTTAATTTATCGCTATGTTAAGGTCTTACTGTTATTATTATTGAATTATATGTTATTAAATTAGTACCCGTTTTTTGCGGTATCTACAATAGTAAGACGTCGTCGCCTCTTTCATAGCATGCGCAAATAAAATCTAGGTTAACAAATAAACTGTGCCGCCATCCTTGACTTATGCTATAGACATTGTTTAGACATTTTATCAAATAAATGACTCGAGTTTACGTTAGATATTTATTTCATGGTATTTTCTTACGTTCATACAGTATCAACCCTTTGCACTCGAAGCTATTTTAACCGTAAATATAAAATCATTTTTCTAATTTATAGTATTTCTATTTTATATGACAAAATGCATTTTATGCATTATTATTATAATTTTTTAAATCTGAACTTTGTTAATATCAAAATTATCTTAAAAGGTGATATAACAAATTTTGCCTCAGAGTGCAAATGGTTAAATATTATTTCTAATTTATTTATATATCGATAAGAGACGAAAGGAACGATATTATTTCCCTTTTCAATAGAAATATCTAGCGAGCCATAAGATTGCGAATAAGCTGCAACAACGACATCTCGGTATATCAAGAGATTGCAAAATGTGTGTTAACGCGACGAGTATTAATTATTAAACCGACAGTTATATTACCGCAAAATAACAGACACAGAACCGACGCCTGTATCCGTAACAGCTCCAACATTCCTTCGATCCTAATAACTGTTCCAGCGTGGACCGACGAACAACGGTTTAAAACGGTTATTTTCGGGGTGGTTTCAACCCCTGCACCGTGCATCATCGTGGCGCCGTGGGCGCGTTTCCTTCGCGAGCGACACACCGCGGCTCATAATTCGCGATCGATCGGTCGCGAAGGTGTTTCGGTTTGATAGAATAGAATACTAACAGGAATGCAGGCACTCGACGAGCGTGGTTGCGTCGACGAGGTATCCCCTGCAGAGAGGACACACGATATGTTCGTTCAACTCTTTAACCAGCGGCTTCTCCCTCTCCGTCGCCTCCATGTCGGTGTTCGGTTCTGAAACAGCTGTGACGATCGGATCGTTAATCCGCGACTGCCGGCTCGGGGCTGATTAAANTTCTAATTTATAGTATTTCTATTTTATATGACAAAATGCATTTTATGCATTATTATTATAATTTTTTAAATCTGAACTTTGTTAATATCAAAATTATCTTAAAAGGTGATATAACAAATTTTGCCTCAGAGTGCAAATGGTTAAATATTATTTCTAATTTATTTATATATCGATAAGAGACGAAAGGAACGATATTATTTCCCTTTTCAATAGAAATATCTAGCGAGCCATAAGATTGCGAATAAGCTGCAACAACGACATCTCGGTATATCAAGAGATTGCAAAATGTGTGTTAACGCGACGAGTATTAATTATTAAACCGACAGTTATATTACCGCAAAATAACAGACACAGAACCGACGCCTGTATCCGTAACAGCTCCAACATTCCTTCGATCCTAATAACTGTTCCAGCGTGGACCGACGAACAACGGTTTAAAACGGTTATTTTCGGGGTGGTTTCAACCCCTGCACCGTGCATCATCGTGGCGCCGTGGGCGCGTTTCCTTCGCGAGCGACACACCGCGGCTCATAATTCGCGATCGATCGGTCGCGAAGGTGTTTCGGTTTGATAGAATAGAATACTAACAGGAATGCAGGCACTCGACGAGCGTGGTTGCGTCGACGAGGTATCCCCTGCAGAGAGGACACACGATATGTTCGTTCAACTCTTTAACCAGCGGCTTCTCCCTCTCCGTCGCCTCCATGTCGGTGTTCGGTTCTGAAACAGCTGTGACGATCGGATCGTTAATCCGCGACTGCCGGCTCGGGGCTGATTAAAAGTCGCCGTCGCGCGAGTCGAGTCGCGCCGCGCGAGTCGTCGGGCGTTTCGCGCGCGCGTCTCGCGCCGTTCCGACTGGCGGAGGACCCGTCCGGTATCCGGACGGTCTTTCGCTTATCTAAAATTAAATCCCGCGCGTTACGCGGGTCATTAGTACCGACACCGGTGACGTCGCGGACGCGTTCGTTCCGACAGCCGGCGGATCAGCCTCCGGAGGATCTCGAAACTCCAGGTAGTCGGAGCGCGCCGCCGCGCCGCGGCGTTTCTCGCGCGGCGGAATCACCGCGCAGGTAATCGGGTTAGAGTGCACGGCAGCCGGCGATCTCGCGTTTAACCGGGGCTCGCCCCACCGGCCGTCGATATATTTAGAATAATGAAATATCCCATGGAAATCGCGCCTCTCGTGGGGAGACGCGTTACGCCGCCACTTTAAGCTCTATCTCTTAAAGGGGATGCTTTCTCCCGATCCCTTCCGCGCTCCCGCCACCCCGGCGATACTTTCGACTAGATGAACCGGCATGCTGCTGCGCCCCGACGCGGCCGCGGCCGGGAATCGCACGAGAAACAACGGCGAAATCGTATCGCGCGAACGAATCGCTGCTCGCGCGAACGCCCCGCTGCGCACACGCTGCTCCGAGCATTCCTCGGCCCGTTAACCGGCAGATCTCGCAAATTCTCTAGGATTAATTCACCCCTTCGGTTCCGGAACTATTCCACGATTCGATGGGGCATCGTTCGGAACACGTGGATTCTCGTTTACACGCGGAGCGAGTATTTGTTGCGCGTCTGCTTCGTTTCCGGGCGTGATCGACTTTGCACATGCATCGAATAAGATTTATTCAACTTTTTCATGTTGTTTTGATGTATTATGAACATAATTTATGTATAATATATTGTGGACGAGATTAACCCCTCGACGAATTGTATGTATTATGAACAAGATTAACCCCTTGACGAATATTATATTATATACATATTAATATAATATTATATTATATTTTATTATATTATATACATATTTTAATATTATATTATATTAATAATATATTATATTATGAACAAAATTTATGTATAATACATACATATATGTATATACATGTAAATATACATATATGTATATACATATTAATACTATATTATGAATCAAAAAATTGAACATGTCCTAAACGGTAAATCTAAAATACCCGGAAACGAAGGCACAGCAATCGGTCAGAGCACGGTAACCGGCTCGGCTACCCTAAACTCGCCGGCCGAACATTCGCCGGACAGTCCTACAAACTCCCCCCCTCCCCGATTCGTATCGCAAGCGGTTTTTATTCTAGTTTCACGGGTCGTTACGCAAGCTGGCGATGCCCAATTATCTCGTCGGATGATCGATCGCGAATGAGGCACGGGTTCCGATCGCGTTTATCGCGGATTAAAGGAACGCCTCGACGGTAGAGGCGGGATTATCGGTGCCGAACACGAGACGAACAACGAGGTCCTCGCGTGAAAGGTACTTGACAGTGAAACCGGCCGGTCACGCGACACCACGTCGCGACCTGGAAAAACTAGGTTTTCAGAGCCGCGGCGGCCGCGGATCTACGCGTCGCGATTTATCGGCGCTCCGAGTGCCGCTATTCGGTCCGACAGGACACGGCCGACGATCTCTTTCGCTCGCGGAACGAAACGTCCCGACGACGGGACGGGACTGTCCGCGGGATCGACCCGCGGCATTTGTCCTCTCCGCGCGGAATTTCTTTCTTTCCCGTGGAGAGCACGCGAGAAACGGTTCGGTTCGTCTGTTTGGGAAAACGGTTCGCGTGCGACGAGCTCCGCGAGCACGGGGCCAAGTGTCACTGCGCATGGCAGGCGAAACTGGCCGGAAAGGAAGGCTCGACCACCTGCGTACGGGAATAACACGGCCGACTACTCGTGTTCAGGCAATTTCGGTTTGGTGAATGATTCGCCAAGGCCGGGAACACGGCGGAGACACGAAAGTGGGGTCACCAGGAATGAGCAGGAGCGACGAGGAGGAAGAGACGCCGGCAGAGACGGGGGGGAGACAGAGACGGCGACGGAGACAGACGGAGCCGCACCGAGAGAGAGAGAAAAGAGAAAGAGAGAGAGCGAAGGAGAGAGAGAGTGGGCAGAGAGACAGAGACGGAGGAGGAGGGAGCAGTAGCAGGGTCTCTGGACTCGAACTTGAGAAAGGTCTGGCGCCAAGCCGGCAGAGGACGAATTCGTTCGCGGTGATCCTCGCGGAGCGGTTCCCCGAGGGAGTCCGCGATCGAAATTTTTCATCGGCTCGGACGAACAAGCTCTATTCCCCGATTCCGGTCACGTTCGCCGCGCTCGAGGATCGCGCGCGGGGAGGCGGGAGAAACGGCCGGGGAAATGATATTCGATCGCGACGCAGCGCGCGGCCCAAGGAAAAAAGGATATCGCTGATCAGACATCGCTGCCGCGGAAATGTACACAGGCTCGTGTTTCTACGACTATCTCTCCCCCCGCGTGCAAAACGCTGTGTATCTTCGACGACCCGGGTCGCTAATGTTCCTTAACCGCGCGCCGGCTTTGGCAGACATTCTCGAGCGTGTTTACCAACCGCTTCCCCGTTCAACCCCCTTCGTGTCCTCGGCGGAATTTTCGGTGCGGCGCGTGTCCCCCGACGGATCGAATACAAACAACGGCCGGCCGATGTCGTTTCGGTTCGTCGAACCCGCGTTTCCCGGTGCCGGAGCTAGGACGAGTACCGGAGCAACGGGATACGCGTGGCGAAACGTTGCTACGAGCGCGATAACAGGCGCGCGGGTCAGCCGCCATCGGCGGATGCACCGCGGCGAATTTCGGAAAGTCGAGGATGGACCGAGAGAGAGAGGATGCGGTCGACGTCGAGGGGGTTAATCTAGCGATCGCGCGGCGTCACTCGGTGAATCCTACCGTTCGCGTCGAGCATTCCAGGCGAGGAGGATCGGATCGTCGTCGTGCGTCGCGGCGGTATCTGGTCGTTTGGGATCGAGCTGACGGCGACAGGGCCAGGAGAGAGAGGCGGTTGACGGAGATTCGCGGCGACCTAGCCGACGTTTCGGGGGCGGTATAGAGAGGCTTACCAGCGGTGTACAGGCTGCTTACCAGCTAAACGAGAGATACGGTCGTGTCGTGGCCAGCGAGCTGCCGTCCCGGCTGGCAGCGGAACGTAGCAGCGGACGTGGCAACGACGGTGTTCTTGGTTGCCGTATCGGTTCTCGCGGTGCAGCGGCCGAGGAGAGGTGGCAACAGCGCTCCGTCCGTCGGCGTGCGGCGCCCCGAGGCTCTCTCCCGCGATAGCAAGCCTCGTTGTCGTCGCTCACGCCGTCGCACTCCTCGCCACGGCCGTTGTCACGAACCCGTGACCGCGAGCAATCCTGATAACTCGCACGCCGCCGCGAGCCACGTACCATCACGTCCCTACCGACTGCGAGCACAGCGCCGCGCACATGTCCCTGCCACGGTTTCGACCCGATTCCTCTCCTTCTTCCTCTTCCACTTCCTTCCTTTCTCTCCTTTCCGTCCTTTCCTTCCTTTCTCCTTCCTTCCGTTCGCGCCGCTTCTGTCTCTGCCTCTTATACGTCCGCTTCCCCGTCGCGCTTCCCTCCCTCGGCCCGCTGCTCCGTCACGATTCCTCTCGATTCCACCGTCTTTTAGCACCGCCGCGAGATCGGTCTCTCTTCCTACGCCGCCACTGCTACGCGCTTCCTACGTGTCGTCACTCCCGAACACGCGCGCCACGTTCCTCTTCGTCGTGCTCGTCGTCGACGACACGACGTGGTTGTCGATCGACCGGTGGGTCGACAGGCGTGCGCGCGCGCGCGCCCGCGCGCGGACTCCCTCGTTCTCTTTCTCTTTCTCCCACCCGTTCTCCTTCTCTCTCTCTCTCTCTTTCTTTCTCTTGCTCTCTTCTCCTCTCAGCTCGGTCTCCGTCCCCCCACCGACCGCCTCCCTCCCCCACCCTCTATCGTGCGTTGTTCCACGGTCTCCGTCGCTCTCTTCCGTTTGCCTCCCTCCTCCTCGAGGACTCTCCACGGGTCTCGTCAACGTAACACACCGCGTTCTCTTTCTCTCTCTATCTATCTATGTTTTGCTCCCTCCCCTCTGCGTCCCCAACCCCCTAGCCCGCGCGTTTCGTCCGTCCTTGTCGGCCGCGCGACTCTCTCGATTCGCTGCACTCGGGACGACTCTCGAACGTAGCGCGACGATACTCGATGATGTAGCGATTCGGTGGCGGCTGCCGGCGACGAACGCGACGGCGAACGACGACGACGACGACGACGAAGACGAAGACGAAGACGGCGACGGCGGCGGGTGGCGGAGGCGGAGGCGATCCCGAGAGCAGAGCAAGTGTGTGCAGCGGTGGCGCCGAACTGCGGCCGCAGCCGTTGCCAGATTTCGATACGGTGCGATTAGAACGACGCTGCACGGAAACGACGGGAAGGCACGGCTCTGGCCGCGTATCGACCCCGCCTAAACCCCGCCTCGCTGCGACGGAGCCGCACGAACGACGCCGAGCGTCGGCGAGCGTCGACGAACCGGCGAGGTCCCCTTTTCCGTCGTCCTCGTCCTTTTCCGCGATTCCTGCCGGTCCTCCGGCTACTCCGGCTCGTCCTCCGGGCCCCCTGCACCCTGCCACGACCACCCGTGCCCCCCCGAAACCTTCGATTCATTCGTCGATCCGCCGACGAGCTGATCGATCTTGACTCCGGACGATGCTAGTCGCCTGCGACACGGTCGGTGGTCGCCTTTCTCGCGTATTTCGCAGCTTCTTAGCAGATCCTTTCCCAAGGGGTTCCTTTCACTCTTTGGGGCACGCCTCGGCCTCCGCGAGGACGAACCCTCGTACGAGTCCTAGACCGCCCAACAGCTTGGCAGGACCGATGCTGCCCGTCTCTCTGCTGAAAAGCAACGCTTTAGAGCTGGCGAAAAGTGATCGGATTAACGATTATAACTCGTTAGTTAGTGTAAATTATGACAAATTAGTTGCTAACAACTGACGAGCTGGATCAATGTTCGCCGAACTCTCGCTTCGATGACCGCAGACTGTCCCCTTTCTTTTTCCGCGTCACCCGAAAAGGGGGCACGTTCCGCGGAGGAACGAGCGGACAGCGCAGAAAGTTGCTTAGAACGGTTCAATGTTTACCTAGCAAGTAGAGTCGGCGAGCAATGACCAGACACCCGAGCAATGTCACACGCAATTGCCCAACGCGGTTTCCACCGCTTCCGTCCAGAGACATCCGCGGTCTCGGTTGTACGGTAAATTCTCCGTAATTGTCCCTCAGCTTGCGAACAAAGATGGACGATCTGGGAAGAGAAGATGCGATTATTCGAGCCATGCGACTCGCTTCTGCCGATCGTCGACGACCACGAAAACGAGCCGCGAGGCTCGGGAATAATCGCGTCTCCTCTTCTCAACGCGTCCATCTTTGTCTACAAGCTGAGGAACTTCGCTGTAGAATTCGCTTGCGAGAGAATTCGCTGTACAACCTTGAACTAGGATGTCCCTCGACGGAAGCGGTAAAAACGATCCGGACATTCGAATCGTCGTCCACAATTGCGTGCAAAGAAGCGCGAGGAGCCCGTTGGGCCGTCTCTTTCGAGCGTCGTCTGACCGTGCAGTCCTCTTGCACGTCGCTCTAATTATCGGATGCGCCGTGTGCCGGTCGCGGCGCATCGAGCATAAAAAGCAGCTTTCGAGCGGCGGCGTGTTAAGAACGGTGACTTGTCCGTGCCGCAATAAAACCGCGTCGACGGACAAGCGCGATAAATATGCGGCGCGGCCTAACGGCTGTAGCGACGGCCGCGGCGGCGAACGTGGCCGATCTCCCTGGAAAAGTTCTCGATCATCGGGCCACCGGTTTTTCCGCAATTTTTTCCCGTTTTCTCGTCCGATCGAGCGTTTTTATCGTGCCGATACCGCTCGGACGGGGTCGGGTGTTGCGTTGCCGTGCCGCGAAATTCAAGGTCCCGGAAATCGACGTTTCGTATTCGCCGAGCCGGTAGACGCGGCTCGATCCATTATGCATATGCTTCCCTGGCCTCTAGTTTCGTAACTTCGATCTCTGGTATCGATGAAAACAGACGTCGAGCGTGTGTTCCTCGGGCCGCACGCTCGCGAACGCGTTACTCTAGTTTCGACGATAGCCACGCACGCACGCACGCATACGAACGCGCGTACCAGCAAGCCTTTTCTCCCGATAACGCGCCGCGACAACCGACCGAATTGTGTTCCAGAAGTATCCCGCGCGTACCTACTTATACATTGTACAACAGTGACTCGCGCGCGGCGATACATCGCGTCGCTATTGTAAATTTAAATGTCCCGCTATTTATAGAAACCCGGTAACCGGTTGATCCTGATTGGCCGTGCGCGTTTGTGCGACGTTCTTTGTCGAGCCAGCGCGCTCCGATTTTCCGGCCGGCCTCCGCCAGATTTCGATGCCCCCGCGGAGGAATTTTGCTCCGACATTCCTGCGCCGGCGACACTTCCAAGCGGCTTTCCGGCGTTTAGAAAGTTAGCCTCGATCTCGAATCGATGTCCCTAAGACCTTCGACAACCTTCCTAAGACGCGAATCCCCGTAACAACGCATCGAATCGCGACGAATTCCTCGAGCTTGCCGGACGGCGCTGCACGGTAATGTCTCCCTTACCGACGCTCGGATTGTCCACGAAAGTGGACAATTTGGGAAGAGGAGATGCGATTGTTCGAGCCTTTTGGCTCGTTTTCATAGTTACCGATTGCCAATAACTATAACAACCAGCCAAAAGGCTCGAACAATCGTATCTTCTCTTCCCGAATTGTCCATTTTTCTGGACAATCCGAGCGTCAATTAGAGAGACATTANTTCAATGTTTACCTAGCAAGTAGAGTCGGCGAGCAATGACCAGACACCCGAGCAATGTCACACGCAATTGCCCAACGCGGTTTCCACCGCTTCCGTCCAGAGACATCCGCGGTCTCGGTTGTACGGTAAATTCTCCGTAATTGTCCCTCAGCTTGCGAACAAAGATGGACGATCTGGGAAGAGAAGATGCGATTATTCGAGCCATGCGACTCGCTTCTGCCGATCGTCGACGACCACGAAAACGAGCCGCGAGGCTCGGGAATAATCGCGTCTCCTCTTCTCAACGCGTCCATCTTTGTCTACAAGCTGAGGAACTTCGCTGTAGAATTCGCTTGCGAGAGAATTCGCTGTACAACCTTGAACTAGGATGTCCCTCGACGGAAGCGGTAAAAACGATCCGGACATTCGAATCGTCGTCCACAATTGCGTGCAAAGAAGCGCGAGGAGCCCGTTGGGCCGTCTCTTTCGAGCGTCGTCTGACCGTGCAGTCCTCTTGCACGTCGCTCTAATTATCGGATGCGCCGTGTGCCGGTCGCGGCGCATCGAGCATAAAAAGCAGCTTTCGAGCGGCGGCGTGTTAAGAACGGTGACTTGTCCGTGCCGCAATAAAACCGCGTCGACGGACAAGCGCGATAAATATGCGGCGCGGCCTAACGGCTGTAGCGACGGCCGCGGCGGCGAACGTGGCCGATCTCCCTGGAAAAGTTCTCGATCATCGGGCCACCGGTTTTTCCGCAATTTTTTCCCGTTTTCTCGTCCGATCGAGCGTTTTTATCGTGCCGATACCGCTCGGACGGGGTCGGGTGTTGCGTTGCCGTGCCGCGAAATTCAAGGTCCCGGAAATCGACGTTTCGTATTCGCCGAGCCGGTAGACGCGGCTCGATCCATTATGCATATGCTTCCCTGGCCTCTAGTTTCGTAACTTCGATCTCTGGTATCGATGAAAACAGACGTCGAGCGTGTGTTCCTCGGGCCGCACGCTCGCGAACGCGTTACTCTAGTTTCGACGATAGCCACGCACGCACGCACGCATACGAACGCGCGTACCAGCAAGCCTTTTCTCCCGATAACGCGCCGCGACAACCGACCGAATTGTGTTCCAGAAGTATCCCGCGCGTACCTACTTATACATTGTACAACAGTGACTCGCGCGCGGCGATACATCGCGTCGCTATTGTAAATTTAAATGTCCCGCTATTTATAGAAACCCGGTAACCGGTTGATCCTGATTGGCCGTGCGCGTTTGTGCGACGTTCTTTGTCGAGCCAGCGCGCTCCGATTTTCCGGCCGGCCTCCGCCAGATTTCGATGCCCCCGCGGAGGAATTTTGCTCCGACATTCCTGCGCCGGCGACACTTCCAAGCGGCTTTCCGGCGTTTAGAAAGTTAGCCTCGATCTCGAATCGATGTCCCTAAGACCTTCGACAACCTTCCTAAGACGCGAATCCCCGTAACAACGCATCGAATCGCGACGAATTCCTCGAGCTTGCCGGACGGCGCTGCACGGTAATGTCTCCCTTACCGACGCTCGGATTGTCCACGAAAGTGGACAATTTGGGAAGAGGAGATGCGATTGTTCGAGCCTTTTGGCTCGTTTCCATAGTTACCGATTGCCAATAACTATGAAAACGAGCCAAAAGGCTCGAATAATTGTAAAGCTGCTTGATCCGTCAACCGGAGAAAACGAGATAATTATTCGACGGTATTCTCCTGCATCTTCTTCGACTTCTCAGAATTTTCCGTCCCTTGCGCAACGACGTTAACAATCGACAGTAACAACGATATCTGCGACAATTCCGTGGACGTAATTAAAAACGCCGCACGCCACGATCTCGAAAGGTTTCGGTTTGCGCGTTGATTCAGCCGTAGAACATAGGACTTGTCTACTTTTCCGAATTTGAAAGGTTTGGAAGACAAAGAAAACCGTAGAAACGCCGCTTGAGCACGACGCATCGTGCATCACATCATTAAGCGACGATCACTCGAAATCATGCGACACGCTGTGTTCCCTTCCGTGACCACGAAATTACGCGAACATCGCCATAATCGAATGCCGTGGCAATCGTGAATTTGCATCTTCGGTCGTGTCCCGATGCGGTGCGAGAGTTCGTTAACGAAAAATCTGCGGATCGATGGATTAGCGTCGTTAAACGGCGCCGCGAAGATCGAGCGAGAAAGAAAACGCAGGGCGTCGCGACGTCGGGGGTTGCAGCGAGAAAAAGAGGGAGCGAGAGAGGGAGAGAGAGCGAGAGAGAGAGAGAGAGCGGGAGAACGAGAAGAACGAGGAGCCGACCGATCGATCGGCGGCGACGCGGTAGTTCGCTCCGTAGCGACCGTCGCCTTGAAAAAGAGACAATCGAGCCGAGCGAACCCGGTTTTGCGTCCATCGGCCGAGCACGGCTCTCTGGTCGATCGCCGTTCATGGGCGGACTGATGGGCATGGTTACAGCCGGTAAAATGGCGTCAGGCTCCGACCACTCTGACCACCCATTCGGCTGCGCGCAGTTGCGGCCCCGCCTGCTGACTGCGCGCGCTGCTTGTCCTCCGCGTTCGTCTTCCCGTTTCGCTCCGAATCACCGACAATGACGCTATATCCGGTTTATCATTTATGTTTCCGGCATTTCCACGTTCGCTGATGAATCGTCTTAGAAACTTCGTCGGTGGCCATCGTCTAATTCGATGCATCTTGCCGGTAAATAAGCCGACAACCACCAGATGGCCGCCGCAAATCGGCTCTCCGTCGACGTTCCTTCGAACGTTTGCACGAATCCGTTACAATTTCGATCGAATCCCGGTTTTATCCATCTTCTGCAGCTTCTGCGATCCATGTTGACAAAGCTCGCGAGATTTCGAAAGCCGGGCATAAGAGAAACCGAGCTACGAACGATTATTTCGCGCGGATACGGTCGAAAGATGTTCCCCCGAGCTGCTTCCTTTCTCTTCGGATTTCTCGACTTGCCGAGGATTTTGAAGTTGCGACCTTTTTCTTCTGCTAGGCTGTTGAAACTGTGAACGTAAGAAAACGAGGCGACGAATACTGCTTGCTCCGAGTGGCCTCTTAGAGTAATTTCTCAGGTGAATAACGTCGGAGGAACCGTTCATCTTAATTTCTTAATGCAACGCGCTTTGTATAGGCGTGGTTTTGCTGGCTCCCGACTTCCATGGAACCGGATCGGTGTGCCCCATAGGGCAATCTGCGCCCTCGGCTGCCTGCTTTCGACGGCATAGCTCCTAGATCGTTCGTACTTTTCCGTTTCAAAGCTTGCGGCAGGATTTCGGTTACGTCGGACGGCTTTCGTGCTGCGTGACTGTCGATTTTGCTGCAGAATGCACACTCACGGTGCAGCAACTATTACCGCTCAAGGAAATTCCGTTTTCTCCGGCGATCGAAGCATCGATAGAGACACGATTGGGTTCTCATTCATAGGCCGAAGCCGGTTCCGATGTTACCCGATACGCCGGAATGGAATGTTCCGCCCCGCATTCTCCGCAGCTCGCATTCCGCGTCCCTGCGCAGTTATTGATTTAGGCGTCCTCCATTTTACTTGGAGCGTAGGGTGAAGTTCCTTCACTCGACGCCACGGTACTTCGCTTTTATTCGAATTTCATTGAGCCGGGAATAAGACTTCCGACAACCGTTCCTTCGGGAAATCGATCGTCCGGAATTATTGAACGTCGACGGGAGAAGGGGATGGGAAAGCAAGAGATCGAACTTGTGTAGAAAATAATTTTATTATCGATACGACTTCGCACTAAAATTGGAATTATACAGCTGTTGTATAATTGGAATTATACAAGGTTTCTTATAATGGATAATTCAGAAGTACGTCCTGCCGCGCCAGCTCGAGCAACATAGGGTCGTCGAAGAATTTGTTGATGGACACGTCCTCCGACAGACCCTTCCGCCTCCGTGTTTTCAGCATAAATTCTCTGGCCAGGTGTGTGGCCGGTTGAGGCTCGAGCGGTCGAATCGTGATGCTTTTGTCGAGCGGATCGCCGGGCACGATTTGCCAATGGTGGAAGACCGACAAGCAGAACGCCTGTCCCTGCGTGTGCGTCCTCAGATCGGTCTCGAACCCGAAGCTATCGATCGCCGGGATGAACGCCTTGATGGTGTACAAAGGACTTCCGGGCACGGGGGCGTCCTGGGTCACGTGGCCCCTCCTTTTCGCCAGCACCGTGTAAACGGCCGACACGCAATCCGCGGGAGCCTGCACCTCGACGAACAGGTACGGTTCCATTAATCTGGGCGTTGCCATCAAGAACGCCGAGTAGGCTACCCTCCTCGCAGTTGGAATGATCTGGCCGCCTGTAACAGAAAACGGAATTAACACGAATCTATCTGGAACGGTCCGATGTCCTCACCTCCTCGATGCAGAGGCTCCTGGGCGATCACAGCGTCCAAGATCTTGAACTTCACGTTCCGGATCGGCTCCTCGCAAAGCGGGCCTTCTCTGGTGCCCCATTGGAAGCCTTGAATGATGGCGTCCCGGGCGCTGTTCAGCAGCGTCTTGTCCACCTCGGACGGCAGCGTGTCGTCGACTAGAATGTTCGGGCCTGTTGCGTCTGGTCCGAAGGCCCATATACTTCTCGCTGCTAGCAAGTCCCAATCGTACTTCGTCTGGAAGAACTCTCCCAACCGCTTCCTGCAAATCGCAGAGTGATCGAGACCTCTCCCTACGTTCGATCCATCGGAAACTGAACTTACTTGTTCCACGTGATCTTAACGTGCTCCGCCTCGATGTCCTCGGCCAAACCTCTCTCCAGCGGCTCGGCGATCATCGTCAGCTTGTTGCGTTTGTTCGGTGTCTCCGCGAAACACTTTAACGAACTGGTCTCCACCACCGTTTCGGCGAAGGCGACGACTGGATCGGCCACTTTGATATCGATCTCGGAGTACATGCGACGCAGATCGTGCATGGCGCAGTCCAGGTACAGTTCACCCGTTCCCAGGACCACGTGTTCGCCGCTCTCCTCGACCCTAGTGCCCAGCAGAGGGTAGCTCTTGTTCACCTTCCTCAGACCGTCCAACATCTTCGGCAGCTCCGAGGGATTCACGGGCTCTACCGCGATCTTAATCACGCTCTGGGTGTTGAACTTCAGCGGCCGGAATATGTGAAGGTCGTCCGAGCTGTTCAGATCGGTGATCGTGCTGGTCTTCACTATGGGTCGGTCGATGCCCTCGATCAGGACCCAGTTACCCGCTGGAACCCGGTTTAACTCGATGGAATAGCGTGCCTCGCTGATCCATAACCTTCCAACAGTGAGAACCCGCGAGTCCTCTTCATCGGTGCGAGAATAAGCTTCACCAAGCACGCGGACGCGTTGTCCTGCCTCTAGAGTGCCGGACATCACCCTCCCGAGGACTACGAATAGCGTGCAGTCTTCGGTAGGGTACATTTTCGTGCTGTGAATCATCAGCCTGCCCTGGGAACAAAGCGTATCGGCAAGATATAGAGATCGTGCATCGATAGATCCTTTGAAGCTAGAAAGAACTCGAAGGTACAAACATCAGGATCACAGTTGACCATGTCCTGCGCGAGAGGAGAGTCTATAGGTCCTGTATACACGTGCTGCACCTTTACCGGTGCGTGCGACTGGGGACTAGGCACGTGAGCTACGCACATGTCGACCAGTCCACACATATCTCCCAAAAACCTGGTGCAGACCAATCTTAATAGAGGCCTGATGTTCATCTTCATCTCCTCGGAGGTCAATCTGATTCCCAGTTCGTCCAAAACTGTGAAGTCAGACGGAGATAAGATTATTAACATAAGCCACCAAGAACGAGAATGTTAAAGTCTTACTAACCATCCGGCAAAGTAGTGTCCACGTCGCCGACAACCTGTGCGAAGATCTTGTACAACGGCTCCAAGATAAACTCAATGAAGCTGCGCTGTGCGGTGTTGTGCGGAGGTTTCTTGGTGAACTTCCGGGTCTTCGAATTGAAGTATATGTCGCCCCATAGTCTCTTCGCGAACTCGTTGGAGTTCAATCCTGGATGGGTCTTTGCATACAAGGCGGCGAAGGATTTTAGGGTGAAGCAGACGTTGTATTCGGAGCTTGCAAAACACACGTTGCCAATCGCGGGCGACACGAACGACGGATTCTCGTTGTCCGAGTAGAGGGCGATCAATCCGTTGATCTCCTCGATAATGTGCCTCAATTTATAGTACGCGTCTAACGGAGGCAGTTTTAACTCCAAGATCAGACGGTCTATCTTGTTTATACAGACTGTTAACGCAAGCTTCTCTTGAAGCGCGTGTTTCAGCAGCCGCTCAGTGTTCAACATTACACCCTCTGCGGCGTCCACGATTAGGATTGCGCCGTCAGATAAACGTATCGCGGCGGTCGCCTCGTCGGAAAAGTTCACGTGGCCCGGGGTATCAAATATGTTTAATAGATAAGATTTAGACTTCACGTCCTGTAACAACAGAGTCACAGGTGTCGCTTTGGTTGATACGCCCCGCTGCTGCTCCGTGAATAGAGTGTCTGTGTACCTGCAGATTATCAAGTTTTTAACGAAGTTCAACTACATTTTATTGGACAGATTGTTAGCTCCTACCTCAAAGGCTTTTCATCCGTTACACTGTGGAGATAGGGATGGGTTTGCCTCACCAAACAATCGACTAGAGTAGTTTTCCCATGGTGCAAGTGACCGAGCAGTACAACGTTCCTAATTAAATGGGGTGCATCCATCATGTCTGCCAAGAATTCTATGCTATACGTCGTTTCTGGAAGTTGTTGCTGCTTGATCTGAAACTTTGGCTTCCTAGTTGGTGCTATCAGTGGTTTGTCCAATGGCTGGGCATCCTCTTCTTGCACTAATGTTTCCACCTAGAATATGGTCAGTGACATTAATGGAAAAAATGCATTCGGAGTCTATGAACTTACCTCTGGTCCGTATACTTCCAGTGCGCTAGGGTAATATCTTTTATCTTCGTGCAGCACTACCGCCATAGAGTTACCCTGGTCATTTTGCTCCCTAGACTCATCTTTGTCCTCCTCCATTTCCTCGTCGGAGCGCTCCCTGTCGTCGACATCGTCTCCAGCGTTCCCATACTCATTTTCGTCTTCGCTATCGGAGGCCAAATCGGGCCCGATATAATTGCCGAATTCATCGTACAGATCAGCGTCCATGGTGAGTCTTGCTTTAAATTAAATAACAGCAAATATACACAACATATTTACGCTAGAAGATCGATTGTTTACGAGTTGGTCACGGGTACATAACCTTGACAATTACGAACAACCGGTCATGTGTAACAATGTGAAAAAGCTGGCAATTATCGACCAACTTTGTTCGACACGTCAAAAAGTTCACAAAGAACGCTCGCTAATGTTATGCACTTACCAGCAACAGTATTATTTATAGCAAACGTTCAATCGATGTCGTGTTTGTATTCTTGGTTATGAACCCTGCATCATGTTGTGGCGTCTAACTCCAGATTCGCCAGCAGATGGATCCTCCTTTCCCGTAAGTGGCCGATCCGTCTCAGTTTGTCCTTTTTTCCCTTTCGCTCCCTCTCTTTTTCTCCACACTTCCATCATAACAGCCGCCCAAAGTGTAAACCAATGTTATAAAATGATGGGCAGAACATTCGCACGCTTTCTTTGATTGTTACATTCAGAACACAGATACAGAGGTACAATGAAACTATATACGCAATTAAAATACACGTGTATTTTTTATTTCTCGAGTGTGTACAAACTCGTGCAATTTGTATCGAGTGAAGTCGGTGTAAACGCAAAGGCAACATGCCAATGTGACAGAGCTAGATCAATCATTTTATTTCGTGTAATACACGATATTTGCTGAATGTTATAAGGTGAATATGATTTATTTAACAAATACGCGTATGTTGGAACTCGGAGAGATCTCGAGTACAATCTTTTATTCCTTCTTGCATTTTTCATTCATCTTTCGTTGAGACAACGCGATTGGTAGGACTGCTTGCGAAGTTAGTTGAACGACGCTCCGCCAGAGGATAGGCAGCGGTTGGTTCGAACTGGTTTGAACTAATTATACGATTTAAATATCGCGATGTGAATTATTTTAGTTGATTGCACCGCACGTGCTACCTTCGTGGCATTGTTATTCGTATTTTTAATTGTTATACATAAAGTAATCACGGCAAAGATCAACTACTGGCGAAAAACGTCAACTCTTTCGTTTCGGTTTGCTGTTTGCCAGGCGTCGCCACTGGTACGATTTGTTACAGTGGACGGCGAACAGTCGACGATGTTTGGATAGTAAAAATCGCTCCAGGGTCAGTAATTGGACTCCGATAAAATGAACAGGTATCGTAGACCGGCGACTGAGATCGATCGATCTTTTGTTTGTTTACAGAAATCGGGGGTTGGCTCGCGAGCAACCTGAAGTTGTCCGAAACAGCCGCTGGTACGACAGTAATGTTTGCGCGCATGGTCGCGAAAGTACATTCGGCCTATCGTGCACAACACTTACGTTGGCAGCTTACACAAACACAGCTTGTCTACACCGATACGAATGTTGCCCACAGTGGCCCAGACTGACAGCTGGAAGAACGCGAAGCAGGAGTGGCAGATCATGTAAGGTGAGACGCCTTTGTTTTCTCGCGGCTTGTAGCATCCGTTTAGCATCCTAAGCGAACGACGTTGCAATCTGTCGGGTTGTGTTCGCGCGTCCCGAAACCTGTCTTCTAATTCTGTCCTATTAAGTGTAATTGACACACCCGCTACATTGCAACGACGTGCATTACGTTTCGGTTGCTCGAAGTTCCCGTAAACAAAACCATTAACATCGGTGTCAAGCGACTCCGATTTTCCCTCGTCGTGTTGACCAGCCGATTGTTAACGAGCGGATCGTTTCTAGGGTACCTTGGCCAGACAGCGGTAGCTCGACAATTAAAGGGCAGGTACACTGCTGAGAATACATCAGAACAGTTGACAGAATAGGCAGAAGAAGGCAGAGCAGCGGGGGAGGGGGTGGGAGAGCAAAAGGCGGTATGACACGTCCTCCCAATAATGACAACCTTATGACCTTCAAGCTGGTCGTAGTAGGAGATGGAGGCGTTGGAAAGAGTGCACTCACCATACAGTTCTTTCAAAAGCTATTCGTCACCGACTACGATCCCACCATCGAGGACAGTTACATACAGCATACAGAGGTAGACAAGCAATGGTGTATTCTGGACGGTGAGTACGACTCTGTACCCTTATACTCGCATCTCTAGGTGCCTATGTTCGCGCGTCTGCCATTATGCCTATGCTCGACGTATCCGAACAAGGTACACGAACAAAGAATGTTTTCTTGTACCTAACAGTGCTGGACACAGCGGGCCAAGAAGAGTTCAGTGCCATGCGCGAACAGTACATGCGCAAGGGTGACGGGTTTCTGTTAGTGTACTCTGTGACTGACAAACAGTCCTACGAGAATATCATGTATTTCTACACCCAGATACTCAGGGTAAACGACAGAGACGTGTATCCCATGCTTCTGGTGGCCAACAAGGTCGACCTGGTCCACTTGAGGAAGGTCACGGAGGAGCAAGGAAGGGAGCTGGCTCAACGTCTGGGTATACCTTACATTGAAACCTCTGCCAAAGATCCACCGTTGAACGTGGACGCAGCATTCCACGAGGTAGGGACAGAGCGAATCGGCTCTCCCGATCAGTTCTCGCCGACGGTTACAGAGATCGTTTTCATTTTATCTTAGGTCGTTCGTATTATCCGAAATCAGCCGCCGACCGAATCGGAGAAAAACCGGAGGAAACGGAGATGTTTGGGGAAATGTAATCTTCTGTAAGACGGGAGGAGAGTGTCAGAGGTGTCTGCGCACAGGGTCGCTTTCGTTCCGGAAAGCGAGACGCACCTGCCAAACAAAATACGGATCTTCTGTCCTCCATCGTATATAGGTACTCGTGAACGATTTTTCCGTTTTGTTTATCCATTCACCTATTATTTCGTAGCATTAACGAGAGATCGATATCCCCCTTCTCCCCACGCCTTCCCCCCTCCCCCCGTCCCCTGTATAATAATTGTACAAAATAGTAACGATAAGAGATGCATTCGAAAGGATAACGAATGCCATCCATCTCCGAGGCGTGACTAGATTTTTTAAAAACGATAAAATAAAACCAACTCAACATCGGTTTTAAGACTCGAAGACATAAGAAAAAGAGAGAAAACGAAGAAAAAAAAGAAGATAACATGTAACGAAAGAGATTCGTCGGAGATATATATAAATATATATATATATACATATTGACTGTTCATCATCTCGACAACACGAGACCCCGGTCTCAGTACGCGCGTACACATCAATTTTCTACCATCGACGAAACACTATGGAATTGAGCGTTTTTTATTGCACGATGCATACATAATTCTAGAGTGAGAAAGGGAGAGATAGGAGAGTGAGTGGAAGAAAGAGCGAAAGTTAGAGCGAGAGAGAGAGAGAGAATCTTTTTAACTTCTTCGCGTCTCTTGTCATGAAATGACTATAATGGTTTCGTATATCGACACGACTCACCTTTTGAACAGCTGTCGAGGATTATAGCTTTAAGCGTATTTATTTCCGTTCGATTTCGATTCAGCGACTCTTCCGACTGATTTCCGCTTCGATTTCGTCCTTACATTCATTTGTCTTGTTACTTTTTCCAAAGTGTCGATTCCACGTTTCTGTCGGGCATTAATCGAACCGCTTGTTAACACACCAGAGAGTACCATAGGTAGTGTCACGTAGCGACGTGAACATGATTTGCAATCGAAGTCGTCCGTTCCCTTTAACGATTAAAAGAATCGCGTTCGGCGACCGGCGCCCGACGAGCAAACTAACATTCAAGGAGAACAAATAAAAAAAAAAAATTACTAAAACAACAAGAGCAAAGTATCGAGAGAAAGAGAGAGAAGCCTCTGCTACTAGATTAATCGCTTTCGTGCACTCGGAGGTCCGATGAACAAAAAAGAGATAAAAGGAGAAAAACAAAAAAAAGAACACCGACGAACAAACACCCACGTACACGTAATGAATTGATCGTAGATGGCGCGAGCCGCGAGACTAGTGCATTATTAGGTAGCCCCGTTTTATTTGGACATCGTGCAATGAGCAGAGAGAGAGAGAGAGAGAGAGAGAACGTTGCTCTCTGTGACACCGACAAAATTACGATTTATCGCCGCGCCCATTTACTTTTTCCACCGGTTATAGTCTAGATTTCGAGCGCTCGCGTCCTGTCGAGCACAATGCGCGCGGACTTTAATCAACGTCGGACCTTTTTATATGTATTAAGAAAAATAATGCCATGGCCTACATTAGTATTTAAACGTGGAAACGAGGGGAGAACAAAAATACGAGAGAGAGAGAAAGAGAGAAGGAGAGAGAATGCGAGAGGACGAGTATGAGAGAGAGAGAGATGGGGAAAGGGAAGAGCTGCGACGAGCGCGAGCGGCTCGGGCGGATTATTGGTGAAACGAATAATAATTAGTTCCGAAGTTATTTATAGCGTGCGGAGAGGAGGCGCAGCAACGCGACCGCATAATCGCGAGTTCGTTTTCGTTTTCTCCAGCGAGGGGTTAAAGGGTCTTGTAAACCGGAAGTCAACACTCGGGGTCCTCGTTCACACACCCGGTCGTAGCCGCGGGCTTCGACCTGTCGCGCGTTTCTAGCGTACGCACAAAGTGCTTTTCCTACACCGTAGGATCGGTGAGAAGTTGCGTAGTGATTTTACGATACGATATACATACATTATAACAATACGTAACGTACATTGCATAACAATTTAAATAATATAATCGTGCACAAAACGTCTTGGCGCAGAAACCGATTTATTCTAACAGTGAAACATATTTGCCTTGAGATTAATGTAATCTGTACAGAGCGCGAGGAGTGATTTTAGGGACGAGGGACGATCCGGGGGGTGGGTGGAGGGGTAAAGAGAGTCGCCATAGAACGGAGAACGCAACGCTTCTCGGTATTTCGTTTCTTGTTTCTCGTTTAGAAAATTGTTCGCGGCCCGAGCGTGCGTCGCCCTCGTGTTTTCCGATTGGATCCGGTCGAGCCTCGTCGTCGAGTCGACTTCACGTTCGTCCGAGCCCCGCGACGAATGTAACGAACGAACGACGTAATCTCTTGCACCGCGAGAAAGCTCAATGAATAGTTTAAAAGTCGAGACGCGCGATCGTGCGAACATTTATCGACGTCGGAGAAACGCTACACGGTTCCGTTTACGCGGCACCCAGAGCAGTCCGACGGGCGCCCGGGGGGGAGAGGGGAGTCGTTGAGCTCGCGAGGACATCCCCAATTTTCGTCGCCGATCGGCTGTTCTCGAACGCGAGGCCCGTGTTTCGGTGTGCCAAAATCTCGTTGGGTCCGACGACGAACCTCTCGGACTCGTCGATGTTTATCCTAAACGAATCGCCACGATTCCCCGCGGTATTTCCACGGTGGCGCGACGTGTTTGGATCGACCACGGAGTAAAAAAAGCCACGGAGTAAATCGGAAACACGTCGGTTTATCTTTCGAAGCACTATGGCAAATGATTTGTTTCACTCTGGAGTTTCGAGACTCGGGTTTTCCACGGTGAAAGCAGCGATTATCGCGATTAGGGTGGAACGGGGGGGTGCAGAACGTTTCAGAGACTCAGGATATTTAGCGTTCCTCGCATCTTCTATAATAATCTGTAACAAGAGCGCTACGTTTTTATCGCCGTCCATACAAACGAGAGAGGGAGTATGTGTATGTGTGAGAGAGAAGGTGTGAGAGAGAGAGAGAGAGAGCGAGATCGCGGAAACACAAAGGGAAACGGAGGCTCACCAGCGGTTAGAATCTAACGCAAGGCACACGACAATTAGAGACGACCAAGAGATACAACCCTGCACACGTTCAGCGGCCGAGGCTCTTCGGGGCTGAAGAGGCGGAGCTCGGCGTGGCCGGAGGATTCGTGAGATTAGTGCGCACGCTTTTAGAGAAATTAAAAAGTCCGGAGAAGAACGTGGATACGCGAGAGCGAGGGATTATCTATCTGTAAAATAGTCAATACGTCGAATCATTGTGATACCGAGTACGAGGAGATACGATATTGTGAATGCTGTGGTTGTGAGAGCCATCGAAGTCAGCTTCATCCATGCCATAAACAGAACGATAGAAACGGAGAGAGAGCGAAAGAGAGAGAGAGAGAGAGAGAGAGAGGGAGAGAATGTGTGCGAGAGTTAGAGGTAGAGGATGAAAGACTGAGCGCGTGTATTCCTTTTTCGACGAAATATTGGAAGACCGACCAACGCGATATCATTGTTTAAATTATTGTTATCCGATCATGAAAGGAACGAGAGAATTCGTAAATCGGTACGCACATACACAAAACAGCGCGCACACGAACACACTGACTTCGCGCCCACGTTTCCCTCCTCCTGTTCCAGTGTTTGCTACTACTACTACTATTACTACTACTACTATTACTACTACTACACACACACAGACACCGTAGAGACACACCGAGAAGAATCGCCGCACGTGTCTGTAACGCTATGTACTACCACGACTCCTCACGGGAATGAAAACGAAGAACAAATCATATATAAACGACGCACAGGAAACGGTGAAACTACGCGTATAATAAGAGAGTAATAAGATTTAAGACGAAGTACGATCGTTGCTCGATCTTGTCCCATAAGTAGCTACGGAAACATGTATGTACATATATATTTTGAAAAGGAACAGAAAACAAAAAACAAGAAAAAGAAACAAA